TGCTGTACACTGGCACCTGCAACCTGCTCCTTAACCAGTTCGAGGAAAACCTGGCGAAGCGCGTGGATATCACCATCAACCACAATGTCACTCAGTTTCTGGGCCTGAACATCACCTACGCGCCAGAAGCAATTCATCTGTCAGCTTCGAAATATGCAGAGCAGCTGGGGGAACGCTTCAACATTCCACGCGCACCACTCTCAACCCCCTACCGCAACCCCGGCACCAACTACAAACCGGACAACAAACCTCTGTCCCCTGCCGGACTCCAACTGTACCAGCAGCAACTGGGCTGCCTGCTGTTCGCATCTGTCACATGCCGACCCGACCTTTCGTACATCGCCAGCCAACTGGCACAGTACTCCCGCAAGCCAGTAGCCGAGAACCAGCTGGACTTGGAGCGCGCCCTGCAGTACTTCATCTCCACACCTGACATCGGGCTCTCATACTCCACGCTAACAACCACATCCTTCAACCTCAACGGCTACGTGGACGCATGTGAGGATCTGGTTTAGGAAAGATGATTCTATTGAATGATTCACCTGGGTACAAGGCGAGGCTATATATAGGCTCGACACAAAGGCAGTAACCCGGGTGTTACTAGAAGGTTCCGCGGGTCGCGAAGCGTCCCGAACGGGTCCTTCCCGAATTCGGTAGAAGGCAATTCGGTGGCAACCGAAAAGCCTAGAATTCGGTGCACTCAACCTAGTTCGGTGCCTACAACTATAATAACTATAGTAAAGGCAACGAATCTAGGAAATCAAGCAAAAGCATGCAAGATAAAATAAAGCTAAGCTAGTAATAACATAATAAAGTCCAGGCAAGCTAGCAAAGCCAGCATAAGCCGTCGTACTCTCACAACGCAGATCACGCCGCTGACCCTGCGAATCGACGGTCCCGAACTGGCTTTGTCTTCCGACTAGAGCCAACCGGCCCCACTTCTTGGAACTCGCAGAAACAAGAACTGGTTGCCTTGCCATCGACTGAAGCTGAATACATCGCCGCGGCAGCAGCAGTTCGCGAAGGCCTATACCTGCAGGAGCTACTACAGGAGGCGAAAATTCCAACCTCGCCTACCTTTCGCCTGCACTGCGACAACCAAAGCGCGATCAAGATCGCGAACAAGCCCGGGTTCGTGAACCGCACGAAGCACATCGCACTGCGGTACTTCTTCGTCAAAGACGAAATTGACCAGGGCAAGGTTGACCTCGCGTACTGCCCGACCACTGAAATGGCAGCCGACTTCCTCACCAAGCGTCTGCCACGTCAGCAGTTCAAGCACTGCTCCGACCTCACCGGAGTGGTCAAGCGAGTAAGAACTCTTCGCACCCAGGAATGAAGGGGAGTGTTACGATATGAAGTTTTTATGAGAAGGCATTCCTGTATGCTGCAGGAGCCGACTCTACCGAGTACGAAGGCGAGGAGTCAGAAGAGTCGAAGCGACACAAGCATATAACATAGTTGGGTACATATCCTAACCCTAACATTGGGTTGTACCCTTTATGGGCTACCCCACTACAGCCTACACAAGTATATAACATATACAGTTTAACACACCCCCATAGGCATGTCAAACATACTGTTTAACACTGAGGACGACACTTGCGGCTCTTGGGTTCGCTCCCTCTACTGCTGACCCGTCGCTGTTTCTACGCACCGACACCTCGCTGCCGCCGTTCTACATCCTCGTATACGTCGACGACTTGGTCTTTGCCACTGCTGACACCGCGGCACTCGCCCACGTGAAGTCGGAGCTGCAGAGGAGACACACGTGCACAGACCTGGGTGAGCTGACGAGCTATCTTGGCTTGCGGATCACCCGGGACAGAGCACGCCGCACCATCACCCTGACTCAGTCACACATGGTGCAGCAGGTTCTCCAGCGCTTCCGCTTCACGTACTCCTCGCCTCAGTCCACTCCTCTGCCTACCGGTCACTCGCTCTCAGCTCTGCCTTCGGATGAGTCCGTAGAGCCGAGTGGTCCGTATCCAGAGCTTGTGGGCTGCCTCATGTACCTGATGACCTGCACTCGACCTGACCTTGCATACCCTCTTAGCATCCTAGCACGCTATGTCGCTCCTGGCCGTCACCGGAAGGAGCACATGGATGCTGCTAAGAGGGTGTTGCGCTACTTGTGCAGTACGTCGGGCATGGGGCTTGTGCTTGGAGGGCGAGACCGGGTTGTTCTCACAGGGCACTCAGACGCTTCTTGGGCAGACGACCAGGCTACTCAGCGGTCGTCCCAGGGTTACACCTTCAGCCTTGGCTCTGGCTCAGTTTCTTGGCGTTCTACTCGCTCTTCTTCTGTTCTCAGCTCCAGTTGTGAGGCTGAGATCTACGCCACAGCCATGGCTGCTCAGGAGCTACGCTGGCTGACCTACCTGCTGACCGACCTCGGAGAGCGGCCTCGTTCTCCTCCAGTGCTGTACGTCGACAACAAGGCTGCCATTGCCTTGTGTGAGGAGCATAGACTGGAGCACAGAACGAAGCACATCGCTCTGCGGTACTTCCTTGCTCGAGAGCTGCAGCAGCGTGGTCAGCTTTGTCTGCGTTACGTGGCCATGGAGGCCAACACTGCTGATGTGTTCACCAAGGCGCTTCAGCCTTGTGACCATCAGCGCTTTTGCACTCTGCTAGGCCTTGTACCTACTGGGCCTCACTTGCTTACCTCTTGACCTTGCTTGTACTGTGATCACTATATATATATGCCTACTTGTTTACTTTTGCTAGGTTGTGATCACTGTATCTCTTGCTTTGTTATAAACCTGCATGTGAACTGGTCTTGTGACCGCTTGCTTGTGCTCGGAATTTGTGTGGAATCCTTGAGATCCACCCTGAGCTTGCTTTGCTTTGCTTTGACTGGTCTTGTGACCCTGTGGTTGTCTCCCACTGCGCCTATGGGGGTGTGTCAAACATTGTATGTTTATATTGTGTAGGCTGTAGTGGGTTACACCTTAGGGGGTACACAAAGTTAGGGTTTCCTACTTGTACCAAACTCTGTGCTAGTTCATTCATTCCTGCTCAGTTATTCTGACAAGGCAAAGTGGGGGAGAACAAGGGGTCACAAGACCAGTCAAGAAACGCAAAACAAGCTCAGGGTGGATCACAACGTCACCACACAAACTGAGCACAAGCAAAGGGCCACAAGGCCAGTCCACATGCAGAGATATATATATGCAACAAGAGCAGTATATTGATCAATACCTAGCAAGAGCAAGCATGCAGGTATAAATATAGAGCACAGTACACACAAAGGCTACAGCAAGTGTGGAAACGTAGGCACAAGGCCTAACAAAGTACAAAAGCGCTGATGATCACCAGACGGAAGTGCCTTGGTGAATATATCAGCAGTGTTGGCCCGAGTGGACACGTCTGCAAGACGAAGCTGACCACGCTGTTGCAACTCTCGAGCCAGGAAGTAACGCAGAGCGATGTGCTTTGTTCTGTGCTCCAGTCTGTGCTCCTCACACAAGGCAATGGCAGCCTTGTTGTCGACGTACAGAACTGGAGGAGAACGAGGCCGCTCTCCCAGGTCGGTCAGCAGGTAGGTGAGCCAACGTAACTCCTGAGCAGCCATGGCGGTGGCGTAGATCTCAGCCTCACAACTGGAGCTGAGAACAGAAGACGAGCGAGTAGAACGCCAAGAAACAGAACCAGAGCCAAGGCTGAAAGTGTAACCCTGTGACGACCGCTGCGTAGCCTGGTTGTCAACCCAAGAAGCGTCTGAGTGCCCAGTGAGGACCACTGGACTCTGCCCTCCAAGCACGAGCCCCATGCCCGATGTACTGCACAAGTAACGCAGTACCCTCTTCGCAGCATCCATGTGCACCTTTCGGTGCCGACCAAGAGCCACGTAGCATGCCAGAAGGCCAAGAGGGTACGCGAGGTCAGGACGAGTGCAGGTCATCAGGTACATGAGGCAGCCCACAAACTCCAAGTAAGGACCACTCGGCTCTACGGAATCGTCCGAAGGTGGAGCTGAGAGCGAGTGACCTGTAGCCAGAGGAGTGGACTGTGGCGAGGACCAGGTGAAGCCGAAGTGCTGAAGGACCTGCTGCACCATGTGTGACTGAGTCAGTGTGATGGTGCGGCGTGCTCTGTCCCGGGTGATCTGCAAGCCAAGGTAACTGCGCAGCTCACCCAGGTCTGTGCACGTGTGTCTCTTCTGCAGCTCCGACTTCACCAGGGCGAGAGCCTCAGTGTCAGCAGTGGCAAAGACCAAGTCGTCGACGTACACGAGGATGTAGAACGGCGGCAGCGAAGTGTCGGTGCGCAGGAACAGTGACGGGTCAGCAGTCGAAGGAGCAAACCCAAGAGCCGCAAGTGTAGTCCTCAGTGTGTCGTGCCACTCACGAGGCGCCTGGCGGAGACCGTAGACTGGCCGCCGGAGGCTCCACTGGGTACCAGAAGGGAACGACCCAGTGAAGCCAGGTGGGCGGCGCAACCAGATCTCCTCGTGCAGGCTGCCCTGTAAGAAGGCTGTGCTGAAGTCCAGCGAGTGAAGCTCGTAGTCACGCTGAGCGGCAACGTGCAGCAGCACCCGAAGAGTGGTCATCTTCGGGGTGGGGGAGAAGGTATGGAAGAAGTCGACTCCCTCTCGCTGACTGAAGCCTCGAGCAACGTAACGAGCCTTGAAGACAGGCGGAGAACCTGGCGGCCGCTTCACCCTGAAAATCCACATGCCATCGACGATGTTCGCCCCGGGAGGGGGAACCTCATCGACGTAAGTGCCTGTGGACTTCCAGGATGCCATCTCTGCGTCCATGGCTGTCTGCCACTGGGAGGAGTACTCACCCGCGATCGCCTCAGCGTAAGAGCGCGGGGTCGGGATGTCTACAGCATCCGGGTCTCCCTCAGGGGCAAGCAGCATGGCCACGAGATGAGGCGCAGCGGCTGCAAGACACTCAAAGTCCTCCTGCATGTCCTCAAGGACGTCCGTGCCAAGAGCACATTCACCCCCGACGGATGGAGGACAGACAGACTCAGACTCAGTAACAAGACTAGCAGCGTAGTCTAGACGATAGGCACCAGCAAAGTCAACAAGCTCAGCGACCAGGGCAGACGCAGCAGCAGACTCAAACGACGGGTCAGTGACAACAGTGGCTAGCAGATGCGTGACAGTAGGGTGCTCAGCACAAAACCGGTCAGACTCAGGGTTCGTGACGTCAGGCAAAGAGGACGCAGGGGGAGACGGAAGAGGAGTACGCTCCGGAGTAGGGGACAGACGCAGGGCTACAAGGCGTGCGCCGGGGACAGCCGGCTGACGCGGACGAGGAACACGACGACCGGTACGACCAGGACGAACAGGCGAGACAGGACGCGACGCAGGCTCACGACGCTCAGCAAGACCCCCTGTTTGCTCAGTGTAAGGAGAAGGAGCAGGCAGCGGTGAGCCAGGTTGTAACGGAAGACCAGTAGACGAAGGGAGACTAAGAACCTGGCGAAGCACAGAGTCAGGCGGTGGCTGAGACGACGGAGACGGTGGAGCAAAGAACAGGCGCGGCTGTGCAGTGCCACCAGCACCAGCAGCTCCAGCACCCCCAGCAGCTCCAGCACCTCCAGAAGCTCCAGAAACCTCAGCACCAGCTCCTCCAGGACCAGCTCCACCAGCAGCAGCACCCCCAGAACCGGCACCCCCAGTCCCAGGGTCTCCAGCCGCAGCGTCTCCAGCAGCAGCACCTGCAGGCTCAACACCTCCAGCCCCAGCAGCTCCAGGGACGGTAGCAGAAGTACCTCCAGGAGCAGAGCCCCTAGCTCCAGAAGCGCGACCCTGACGGCGACCGTACCAGTCGTGCAGCTGCTGTGAAGTGAGAGGCACACGCGGATGAAGGCGGCAGCTCCAAGGAGACCGAGCATCAGCAGACTCAGAACCCTCAGCGCCAGCACCCTCAGCAGCTCCAGCGCCACCAGCACCAGGACCTCCAGCAGCTCCAGAACCTCCAGCGCTCGCACCCTCAGCAGCCCCAGAACCACCAGCTCCAGCGCCACCAGCACCAGGACCTCCAGCAGCTCCAGAACCTCTAGCGCCCGTAGGCGCAGCACCCCTAGACTCAGAACTGCCTGACTCAGCACCCCCAGACCCCTCACACGCAGGCTCAGCACCTCCAGGCTCCACACCCTCAAGCTTCGCACCCCTAGGCTCAGTACCTCCAAGCTCAGTACCCCCAGGCGCCGCACCCCCAGGCTCAGCACCCCCAGAAGTAGCACCCCGAGCAGGACCACCCCCAGCAGGACCTGAGTCACCAGTGACCTCGACCGGCGCAGGTAAGGGAGGAGGGTCAACCTGAGACACACCTGAAGGAGCAGGACCGGGAGCGGGGAGGGGGTCTACCTGGGGAGCACCTGGAGCGAGGAAGAGCGGCGGGGGGGGGGGGGGGGGGGAGAGGGGCAGTGCGGTAGGGGAAGAGACGGTAAAAGGGAACCGACTCATCGAACGTGACGTCCTGAGACGCAAAGACACGGCGCGAGGTGGGGTGGTAAAACTGCCAACCAGGTGCGTCAGGGACAAAGCCAAGGAAGACACAGGGAACAGCGCGGGCGGAGAGCTTGTCCGCGGTGGTATCGCGGACAAAGGCACGAGCACCCCAGACCCGGAAACGGGACGCATCGCCAACCTTCCCCGTCCACAGCAGTGCGGGCGAGGTCTCCGGCAAGGAGACACGGGGCCAGAGGTTTAGCTGATGCGCGGCGTACCGGGCCGCAAACGGCCACAGAAAATGGGGGGCAGCCGCATGGATCATGGAGGTACGAGCCACCTCCATGACTAAGCCAATGCGGCGCTCAGCAACCCCATTTTGCTGCGGAGAGGCCGGAAGCGTGAACGACTGGGTGATGCCGTGCTCCGCACAGAAGGCTGCCAAGAGGTCTGAGGAGAACTCACCACCTCTGTCAAAGTGCAGACGCAGGACGGGAAACTCCGTCCCGAACCGCTCGCGGAGCTGGAGACGGGCAGCGCGGATCCAAGGGATCAAAACAGCAGGGACCTCCCCCTTGCTGCGCAAGGGGAAGACCGTGGTGTAACGCGTGTAGTCGTCGACAACTAATACCCCGGATAGAAGTGCATGCCTATGATAATCGCCGACGCTTATAAAAGGATGAGGGCGCTTATATCCGCTCCTCGATTATAAGCTGTTACGAATAGTAACATTTAATTGTTACTGAGCACTCCTCACCGCAGCAAAGAGAAGCACGCATTATCGAAGCAAGAAAGCGAACCATGAGACGGTTGGAGTTTGACTCGAAGTGTCAGACAGTTGGGGCGCATCTGGACCGTCGGAAGCAGACGGCATCGGACAGCTGCAGGCAGGATGTTTTTGGCGGGAACAGTTACGAAACTGTACGCGCCGCACGGTTGAGAATGCGTTTGAATAAGGGAATGTACCCCTTAGAGTACATGGCTAGCTAGGTCGTTTCGTCTTCCCTGTACTCATATTTATACTTGCTGTATTTGCATGTTTTAATCATCTCAAGCATTTTACATTCACTCTGCTATTGAGGTCACGGGCCCACCAACTACATTTCCCTGTGTGCGAACCTTCCCGAGTAGATCCTGGTAAGCGATCATTCTCTGATCGTAGCATGGTATGAGAGCGACTCGGGAATCCTTCGCAACACCACTCCCGAAAATTACGACATTCAAAAAGTGGCGACCGGCATACGCTCACGTGTAAGAATGGCCGAAAGATCTGGTGGTCAGACTAATCTGACGGCTGAAGCGCGCACCAACCCGGCTGCGACAAGCGAAGACACGACTACGATCGGCACCGAAGTCCTCGCACAACTTCTTCAGCGACTCACCAGTCTGGAGCAAGGGCTCCAAACATTGCGGAACGGCGATGCGGGAACATCCTCGCAACCATCCCAACCGGGCCCAACTGGGCAGAACACCGTCCCGCAAACCTTCTCCCTCGACACAAATGGCTCAACCCCCAAGGCTCCCCGTCCCAGTGAAGAAGCAATTCTCTCCGCTCAATCAAAGTTTCTGAGCATATCAAAAATAAAGACAAGTTCCAGCTTTGACGGCAAAGACTTCTATACCTGGAGCTTCGAATTGGAGCTCCTGCTGCAGAACGCCCAAATCTTCCATTACTTCGACGGGAGCTACGCCGAGCCTGCCGAGGACACCGACGACGCCAAGGCGAGGTATTACAACGAATCACTGATGGCGTACGGGGTGCTCCTGCGGAACATGTCCCCGGCGGAGCAGCTCAACATTCGTTCGTACAAAACGACAGCTGCTCCAGCCCTCAACGCCTGGCGACATCTGACAGGAGTGTATCAGCCCAAGGACTCTGTCTCCTCTAGCCGACTGCTCCAGAAATTCCTGGAAACCAAGATGACCTCAGGGGAGAAGGTCAACACTTACCTTAACCGCTGTCGGAGCCTTCGTGATCAAATCGTGAAGTTGGGAAGCACGATATCTGAAGAAATCTTCGTTAACATCGTACTTCAAGGGCTCGGCCCAGAGTGGCGGCCTTGCAAGGCGCTTCTCCGACAGCAGGGGGTCATCTCGGAGGCCGCCCTTTGCGCCGCCCTTCTCGTCGAACAACGGGATATGGACCAGCAGCGACCAGCGCCACGACGAGAAAGAGAACGGCTCGCCTTCTACGCCGACAACAACGAAGAGCGACGGCCGAGGCGCCTTTACTGCAAAATCTGCAGGAACTTCGGGCATCTGGCAGATCGATGCAAATCCCGATCTCGCCCTCGCCAGACCAATCCGAGCAACTGGTCCGGCCGACAAGACGTACGAGGCGACGTGCGTCCAGCCCAGGGCTATCAGCCCCCTCCCACGCGCAACCTGAACCCCGCGGTTCAGCATCAGCAGCAGCAGCCGTCATCGACTGCACCAGTGCGCAACGTCATGAGCAACATGGCCATGACAGGCGAGTCGCGCCGTCGTCGAGTACGCTCTCCCTCACCTGAGCTAGCTCCGCACCCCATTGGTGCGTTCGCTAACAACAATCCGTTTAGTCCGCGCCGCGACTATACCGACGACGACGACCAGGACTGGAACCTCCCAGTCCCGCTGCTTGAAAGTCCCCCGCACGTACCTGATATGCGGGTGGCGCCACTTGATTGGCTCACGCGCGAGCAATTTCTGAAGTTCGATACCCCGCACATCGTCACGCCGCGACTGGCGCTGCTCGCACGTGACGACAACAAGCGCAACAACACCTGGTACTTGGACAGCTGCTGCGGCCAGCATATGGTGGGCTCCGAGCGTTACATATCCAACGCCGTCCCCACCCCTACCGTCACTCACGTCACTGTGGCGAACAACACGCGCCTGCGCGCAAGGCATCGTCGTGCTCAAAGCACGCGGAAGCCGCACGCACATCACTCTTAATGATGTGTTAATCGTCCAAAACCTGCGCTTCAACCTCCTGTCCGCCGCACAGCTCATGGACTGCGGCGTCGACCTCAGCACGGACCACGCGACGCGAGACATCCTGCTACACTACGAGGCGCGCAACTTCCCCCGCAGGCAGATCGGACGAGCACACTCCGAAAATGGAGTGTACATCCTGGATTTCGATATTCCCGACTGCAGCGGCGACTCGCACGAGCTAATTGACCTCGTGCCACTGCGATTCGAACACATCCACCGCAGGGACTGGAAGCACCCTGACGGCAGGCCGTGGGTGCCGCATCATCCCCACCCACGCGAAACGGCACTTCACAACCCCGATCCAGATGGAATCTGCAGGGATTGTCACACGCCGACAACCTCAACGAGCGCGATCGCAGGCCGCGGACTCGCCGCCATCGCGGAAGCAGAGCGCAACGCGCCCCCCGAGGAAGGGATGTCGCAGCTCGAACTCGAAGTCACCACGCATAACGTGTTCGGGACGACTGAGCACCCCCTCACAGGTCCCCCTTCTCAACATCTTCGAGGGATGCTTCGTGGAACTGGTGTCGGCACCTTCGATGCGCGTGGCATGCCACGCCCCTACACCCGCGAGGATTTTCTGCAGATTTACCCACATTGGCGCGACCCCACGGCAAAACTCACCGTGGAACAGGAGGAAGAACTGGCGCGCCGCGAAGCCGAGGAGCTTCGCCAACAAAGCCTCACCGAGGCACGCGGAACGTTCGCTTGCGCCGCATGGGGCGCCGAAGCTGAAGAAAGCGCCACCAATGAAGGGGGGTGGGGAAGCGTCGGCGGACGGGAAACGGCTGAGGCTGGCGACTGGGGCAACACCGGCGGAACCTGGGCAACCGCAACCGGCGGATGGGGCGCCGCATCTGGCGCCGACACGAGTGGCTGGGGCACCCCTACTAGAGGCTGGGGGACTTCCCGCGAAGACCAAAGGGGGGGAGAAGAAGAAGCTGGAGAGTCTGCAGTTGTTCCCCTCGGTCGTCCCCCACGCCATGTCCCACTCGCGTTACCTCCTCCTGATAACCCACCGCGCCGCGATCCATGGGACACCATCAACTGGGGCAACGAGCCGTCAACCCCGCGCCGCACTGTCTACGGACCTGCCCCTGAACCTCGCGAACCTACCTTTTGCGCTGGAACCATCCCTGGGACCAACATCCCGCTCTCTGAAATTCGTGACAGAGAATTCCTGGCGCTGATGCTCACCACCGCGACAGAAGAAGAAGAAGCAGAGGAAGAAGCATCGGAACCTGCTCCTGTACCTGACGAAAACCCTGAGGAAGCGTGTGCGCGCTACATGCGCACCTCCGGCTTTCGCGCTGACGACGCACTCTGGCACCAGCGCCTCGGACATCCCTCACGCGCAACACTGAAAAACTGCATCGACGCAGGCGTCTTCGCTCCTGGAGCGCTCCTACGCCCAGATGGCAGTGAAGTGCGAGGTGCGACACATCCGCGCAATTGCACCGTCTGCCCCGAAGCTGCGCTAAGCCACCAACCGTTCCCGCTGCTCGAGCCAGGAACGAACCGCTACCCCAAGCTGCACAAAGTGTACAGCGACTTTCTCAACGTGGGGCACTGCGGGGTCGACGACGAGCTCTACACACTCACCTTCATCGACGCTGGAACACGCTATGTGTGGGTCGCGAACGTGGAAACTCGCGACAGGGCCTACGAAGTGTTCCGCCTTTGGCTGGCTCACGCGCAACGGCAATCTGAGGAGAAGCTAAAGATCTGGCAATCTGACGGCGCAGCAGAGTTCAGGAGCAACCAGATGCAGACTTACCTGGCGCAAAAGGGGATCGAGCATCACATCTCTCTCCCCTACGCACATCAGCAGCAAGGCGTAGCGGAGCGAACGAATCGCACACTGATGACGAAGGTGCGGGCGCTGATGAAGCAGTCGAAGCTGCCGCCGATCTACTGGACTTACGCGATGCACCACGCCGTGCGGGTGCATAACCTGCTTTCAACCACCGCGATCACCGGGAATCTCTCCCCGCACGTCAAATGGACCGGGACCAAGGGGGATACCTCCATGCTCCGCGTGTGGGGGTGCATGGTGCAGTACCGCCCGCCAACATCAACCATCGGCAAATTCGCCAGTCGCGCGCGCTGGGGAATTCACCTCGGCATCAGTCACGAGTACAAAGCATGGATCGTACTGGACCTCCTCAGTCAGAAAACCGCCCACGCTCGCGACGTAATCTTCTACGAGCGGCTCTTCCTCGACCAATTCCGTCACGACGAGGAAACGAACGCGAATCGCGTTTACGCGAACGACGGGCACAGCTACGCAACGCCCGAAGACGAGGCCGCTGCAGCAATCCTGGAGCAGGATACAAGGGGCGAGTTCACATGGGAGGATCGGCGCAGCAG